AGAGTACAACCGGGTTTTATGTGAATATGAAACATTGGGCCACATGTCAAAGATTTCAACTACCGAATCACCAGAGTCAACCGACTGTTATTTCCTATCACATCATGCTGTGTTGAAAGAGAAGAGTACCACAACAAAGGTCAGAGTGGTATTTAATGCATCATGCCCAACCGCCAACGGTATGAGTTTAAATGACGTCCTCCTTCCAGGTCCTGTACTTCAGGCCGATTTAACTATCCTCATACTCCGTTGGAGACTGTTCCAATACGTCTTCAACAGCGATATAGAGAAAATGTATCGGCAAATATACGTAAACGAGAATCAAACGAAATATCAGCGCATAGTTTTTCGCACCTGCCCAAGAGACCCAATTAGTTTATACGAATTAAAAACGGTGACTTTTGGCATCAACTGTGCTCCTTATCTCGCGATAAGGACATTGCATCAACTAGCTGATGAGGTTGAGAGCTCGTTTCCAATCGCATCCGAAATTTTGCGAAAGTGTATGTACGTGGACGACGTACTTGCTGGAGGACACAGCATCGAAGCAGCGATTAAAGCTCGAGAAGAAATCCTACAGGTACTGGATTCAGCAGGGTTCCCGTTAAGAAAGTGGACTTCGAACTCCAGTAAAATACTTGAAGGTATACCGAAATCTCATTTACTCACCGAAGATTTTCTAGAGTTTGAAGATTCTAGTGCGGTGAAACCACTTGGCATCAGATGGAATGCCAAATCTGACTACTTCTATTTCACAGCAAAACCAATAGAAAATCGTAACGTCATCACCAAAAGAGCGATACTTTCAGCTATCGCCAAACTGTTTGACCCGCTCGGTTGGCTCGCTCCAGTGGTAATTGTCGCCAAGATCATTATGCAAAATATTTGGTTGGAGGGAACTGGTTGGGACGATACCGTGTCTACGACCACATTAGATCGTTGGCCGGCATTTATGCACGACTACACGGACATTAATACCATTCGCATTCCAAGATGGGTTCACTTTACGCAAACAGATGACGCCGAAATACATGGATTTAGCGACGCTTCGGAGAAAGCATACGCGGCGACTGTTTTCTTGAGAGTTAAGACTGCGGAAAGAGTTGTGGTCAGCCTTCTAATGGCAAAAACAAAGGTAGCGCCCGTCAAAACAGTATCGTTACCCCGTTTAGAACTTTGCGGCGCAGTTTTGCTTTCGGAAACCTTAGAAGCGGTCGTCGAAAATCTGAGTCTTGGACATTTGAAAATAAATCTCTGGACAGATTCGATAATAGTTCTAGCATGGATCCGGAAACCACCGTGTTCGTGGTCAACTTTCGTTGCTCACCGAATAACAAAAATTGTAGACAAGGTGGGAACCGAAAACTGGCGTCATGTTGATTCGGCATCAAACCCAGCAGATCTGGCGAGTAGAGGACTTTCGGCTAGTGAGCTAGTCAACAACTCCTTGTGGTGGCAGGGTCCTTCTTGGTTACAAGAAGACAAGTCAAAATGGCCAGCACAAGAAGCGAACTACGACACAGTCATAGAGGAAAAAAGGGTGCAAGTTCACGCAACAACTAGCACAAATAACTTTGAAATTCTCGACAGATTTTCAGATTTCTCAAGAGCTTTGAGAGTCATCTCATATATTATGAGATTCTATCAAAGAACTCACCTCAGTACAAAATCTTCTTTTAAAGCGGAGTCTTCATTAATTTCGCCGGCCGAAATTAAAACAACGACACAACGCTTAATAACCATTTATCAACAACGACACTATAGAGAAGAATATGAACAATTGAAATCAGGTAAATCCATCGAAGCGAAAAGCGAAATTTTGCCCCTTAATCCATTCATCGACAAGGATGATGTTATGGAACTGGTGGTCGTCTTGGCACATCCCTTGACTTGGCCTACAGTAAGCGCCATCCAATTATTCTCCCATATGATTGCAGGTTAACTCGGCTTATTGCCCAGTTCGTCCATAAAATCTCCTTACATGGGGAAAACCAACTGATGCTGCGTCTTATACGTACGCAATACCGGATCCCGCGTGTAAAAAATATGATACGGTCCATCATCCACAATTGTAAAATCTGCACGATCCACAGGAAACGGTCATCAACCCAGCTTATGGGGAATCTTCCAACTGAACGCACTACATTTTCGCGTGCGTTCACAAACACCGGTGTAGATTTCGCGGGGCCTTTTGACATTAAAACCTACCGCGGTCGAGGATGTCGTCTGTCAAAAGGCTACGTTTGTCTCTTCGTCTGTTTCTCGACTAAGGCCATCCACCTGGAAGCCACTAGTGACCTTAGTACTGCTTCCTTCCTAGCAGCATTTGCCAGATTTATTGCTAGACGAGGGTGCCCAAAGAATATTTACTCCGACAATGGAACTAACTTTGTCGGAGCCTCTCGGTCTTTGCGATCCGAACTTAAAGCCTTCGTGGCCGACTCGCGCAATCAGATCCTGTCTAAATACTGCCACCAAGCTCTATCGTGGCATTTTATACCTGCAGCAGCCCCTCATATGGGTGGACTGTGGGAAGCTGGGGTTAAAAGTTTTAAGAGCCACTTCAAAAAGGTCGCGTCGGACCACAAATTCACTTTTGAAGAGTTTAGTACTCTTCTATGCCGGGTTGAGTCTTGTCTCAACTCGCGACCACTTAGTCCATCATCCAACGAACCATCAAACTTGGAGCCGCTTACCCCAGGGCACTTCCTTATTGGTGGGCATCTACTTGCCCCACCAGAAATCGACGTAAACGAGACTCGGGCCTCTATCGTAAACCGTTGGGAAAAATTGAATGCATTACACCAGACTTTCTGCAGAAGATGGAAATCGGAGTACCTGACCGAGATGCAGAAACGCGTCAAGTGGAAACATCCACAAGCCAATTCGAAAGAAGGGGACCTAGTCGTCATTAAAGAAGAAAACCTCCCACCCAATGAATGGAGACTTGGAAGAAGAGCCAAACTACACCCTGGTCCAGACAACCGAATACGTGTAGTTGACGTTGATACGGCAAAGAGCCAAACTACAAGACCAACTGCAAAGTTGGTTCTACTCCCGCCCTGCAACGAGGGAGTCGAGATGCGGAACACTCAAAGTTAAGATGAACCCCGATACATATAAATATATATACGTATGCGCATCAAATTTGAGTGTTACAGATAGCACACAAGAACTATTTAAAAGGAACGTCTTAATGTTATAAGATGTGTTAGAATATACATAAATATATTTTTTAAATATCCAAAGTTGCTTGAACGCAAAATGGGTAACAACTTGTTCAGGCATGTACAAGTTAGTCGCATAGCGAACCGAACTACATACGCCAAACCTGGCATAATTAATTTAGTGATTTTCAGATGCAACTATATACGTATTCTGGATGAGGATCATGTTTTAGTTCGGTATTCCGAAAATCCCGATTACAAAAAAATACGTCCACAATCTTTGGTTTTTGTTTATATTTAATTTGGTTTAAAAAAAAAAAAAGAAAAAGGTCAATCACCCTATTTCATATGTATACAAATGAATTAGATGATATTTGGAGGATTTTGGACACAGTATACAGTAATCCAGATAGCCAAAACAAGAAATGTAAATATGCTTATTTAACATTTGGTTTGAATGTATTGGTTGATATTTTTTCACAGTTGTCGGTTTTGTTAACCCGAAATCCAATTTAAATATTTTCTTATAGTGAAAAATATTTTCAAGCCACATAAAATAAAGTGAAGATAAAACCAAAATTCCAAGCAAATCAAGCGTGAAGTGTAAATGATTGTGACCGGACGCAGTTCCTACATAAGTCAAACCGTGTTCCGATCACAACTTGGAGTGAATAATGGTGGGCTGACTTAGATATTTTAACGAAAGTCGGTGTCAGGTTGCCTTTGGTATACTTTAGGTTAGTGTTAAATTTTTTGCAAAATCTACCAATAACCATGCACACCTCTCACGTAGTTATTAAAAATACTTTTGTTTTTATATTATTTTTTTCGAATTTTGCTGTTCAAATTTACATTTCGAATATATCAACAAGCATTTGTGGGTACTTTTGCATTAGTTAATTACAAAAATCCTATACGTTCATAATATTTCATGTATTAATTATCAAATAAGCATGTTGTTAATGGTTGGTTTACTGTATACCATGATGCAAATGTTTGAAGGTAAAACCGCTCGCTCAATTCGTCGGCCATTATTTATATTCTGAAGTGTCTACTTTATAAAATTTAAAGTTTGAGATCAACTCAAGTGTCAAATAAAGGTAAACAAAAAAAAAACAAATAGATGAAAATATTCAAATTTTCTTTTATTTGAGATTGAAAATTTGAAAACATCTTTTGTTATGTTAGCAAACTTCAAAGATGTTCAGGCTGCTGTATACTGCGGTTTTTGGATACATCAAAAGTAATAGAAAAATTTCTTCACTCACCCACAATTCCAAATTCCAACCGTCAGACAGACGTTTCATACGGGTAAGCGACGAGTCGTTCCGTGATTGTTGTTGCTCAAGGTAAATATGCGTCTACTGCAATAAAAGTTAAGCCGTCGAGAAGAGTACGATGCAGGGTGTTTTCAACGGGCTCGAATAGTTGAAATAGTTGGCGGTATAAGGGCTCGAATAGTTGAAATAGTTGGCGGTATAAGGGCGCCACAAAATATTCGCGACAAGAAACTGGATTCGACAATGTAGATGTGGCTGGAATTTACGAATTAGACGGATAACGGCGTCTTCCCTATGAAATATGACTGCATTTGATGTTAACTTTAAAAGTTCGGGCCCAATACGCAATCTCTTCATCATCAATATTATCACAAAAGCTTAAGTCAAGTAACTGTAGCTTTCTACATTTCATCAAAAGCTCATAACAGCGCTCTTTAGATATCCCTGAAACACCCATCAAGTCCAACTGTTCCAAATTGGAGCAAAAGTTTGCAATGTTTTCCACATCACGATCGGTTATTCCTCGCACGGTGGCTAAGAATAGCTTTCCGAGTTTCTTGCAATTTAACAACAATTGCTTCAGACTATCTCTAAGAGAGACCTCCCTCAAACACCAGCCGAAATCAACTTCCTCCAAATCACAGCACTTGGATAATGCCTCTAAGCCAGCAGCGGATAGAAAACGGGATTTCCACATATCCAAAGAAACCAGATTATGATTATATTGGCCGATACGTTGAGCCACAGCGTCCATATTAACTGCTATTCCGCAAAATGCCAAATTCAAGTGTTTTAACTTTCGATTGTTTTCTAGCATGGTTAAAACCAATTCAGGTTCGATTACCGTTTGAAATAAATCTAATCTTTCCAAGTTTTTTAAATTTGCCAGACAAGAAAAGTTAAGCAGCGGGGGATCCGTCGAGCAATTTCGAAGGGAAATTTCCCTTAAGTTGTCGCATACAATTCCCAATGTCTAAATACAGCTGGCGTTTAAAATTTTACACGAATCCAATCTTAAGCATATTAGACTGTCTCCCCGTTGAATAAATTTCATAAATTCAGTTGGGGAAATCGTGTTAAACAAACCACACCTCGATAAATCCAACTTTTTCAACACAGTAGCTCTCGTTGCCAAGGTACATAATAGATCGTTTGTTGTACGATGCCAATACGGGTTTAGGTTCAATTCGCCGTACAACAATGGATGAGTAGATACGTCATAAAAGAATTTCGACACTTGTCCAACTAAGAACAGCGATATTAAATCCAAGTAGCTGAATATTTTCAACATAATTTCAAACGGCATGTCTTTGAGTCCAATCTTGCACTCCTCGGAATGTAACTCGTCGGTCATAATTTCTCTACTATTGGTTAATACGTATATAAACTTATTTAAATCGTTGGCAAATTGACCTTAATATTGGGTCGAAATTGAATTCTTTGTAATTTCCGCAAAATCGAACATTTGCGTTGCCGTTCATAGGAGTCGAATACTCGTTGCGCACTTCCAATATTCACCTTCCTCCCGCCTAGTAATACAGCATCGATTTCCGTGAAATAACCCAGGTTTGAATGATTAAATTCTAGCCTTATAGTCCTAGATGCAAAGATTATTTATTAATAAATACTATTTACAAATTGCACTACTTACCCCGTTGCTGGCCTCGTGTTCATTGTGGAAATGATTAACGTCGGCCGCAATACCCATTAATGAAGTGTCAACAAAGAACGTAAAGTGTAATTTACGCTCTTTGATGACAGCACGCAGCCCTCTACCGGGCATGAGGTTGGAACGAGACCATTTAACTAAACACAATTCTTTCAGCGTTGCCGCTTTGCATTTTAATTATAAAAATTTATAACTTTGAAGCTTTTTACAATTGTTCAAAACAAAAAATTTGCTTATGTACTTACATACATACATATGTATGTGTCTACACCTTAAAAAAAAAAAATTGAAAGTGGTTGTTGAAGTAAATTGTTCATCTTCATTATCCAAACGCTCTGTTGTTGGTGATATGAATTTTTTTGAACGCGGCAGCGGCATCATGAATTTTTATGAGTTTGCCATAGAAGAAGAGGAACAACTGATATTTCACTCAAAAAAAAATGAATAGATCTAAGCGGGCCACAATTCCAGACGTGGTGTAGTTCCGTCGCTGCCAAAATAATTACCTAAGTTATACGAATGTTATTCTCATAAAAATTTGGTAATTTTTTTTCTGAGCTTGGTATTTTTTTTGTTTGAGATTTGGTAAAAAATTAAAAACTTTGTGGCAACACTGAATTCGTTATGGATCGGTTTAGTCAAGTTTCGCACCATTATGAAAAATAATGGGATTTTTTTTCTTTTGGGTAGGAGGCTATGGTGCTTAATAACAAAACCCCACAATAATGTTTTCAACCATTTTCTACGATATTGGCGATTTATTCTGTCAGTATACACTGCGTGGCATTGAATAAGTCACGAATTGATTATACACTGCGTGGCATTGAATTAGCCCCGAATAAATTATGAAGTTTAAAATGATTACGTTTTATGCATCGATATAAAACAAATAAAGAATTAGAAATGAAAACTCACGAAATAAGATAATATTCATGCCTCTCCATACATATACATATATATTCTCATCTATTTTTTTTTTCATGCGCGCGAGCACCTTAAATTCCAAAGGCGCAAGCGCGTAAATATAACACTGGGACGTCGCTCAATATCACGAGCGCCATCTAGAAAAATCCTGAATAGCAGTACAGTAATGCTACGGCCACACCAGGGACTACATAGGGAATTTATAAGGCTGGAGTTAGACGCATGTAAATATTTTATGTAAAATTTCTATACATATGTACGATAGCAAATGCACGAATACCCACCACTTGCCACCCAACCATAATAAATTCAAAGCAAAGCAGAATTTTGGTCAACCAAATACTACAAATTGCAGAATGACCCGATTCTCAACCCTGCGCTCTAAAACTGAGAGGAGCTCGGAGGAGTTTCCAATCGCCTGTCGCTTGTGCGACAAAGACCACGGCATAAGACTTTGCCCCATCTACCGTGGTAAGACGGCAGAAGAACGACTGCGAGCGATCCTCATACACCGCTACTGGCAGCCAGCACGCAATATAGAGGATGATGACAACAGTTCCCAGGGTGCCTTATCTATCCACATAGAAGAACCTTATAAGTGATGGGCTCTGCAGGTCGAGGAGGCAGAGATGGAAGAAGCTACGACTGAGGTCGCTCCTGTGGAAGTAAGTGGCGGCTCGGAAACCCGTTCTTTCCGACCACCACTCGAACATGAGAAGCGAAGGGAGAGCAGCTCTGCAACTTTGTCCTTCAGACAGCCTGCCCAGTCCCAATCACAGCATCCGGGTGGCTCGGAAACTAGTTTTTTCCGACCGCCCCCATATCCCAACGGTAAGAGTCGTGATGGCGCGGGAACTGGTCCTTTCCGCTTGTCTCGACGTAAGACTGTTGGGAAAGCACCATATCGCCGACCACGAGCGCAGAACCGAGAGCAGGATGCGGCTCTAGCCGTTCGACGACTGGGGTTTCGAACCGGTCGCACAGACAACAGTACGATGGCTCCACCGATCTTACGCTCTTTTCAGCCGATTGCACCGACCGCCATCGTTCGAATCGAGTCTGGTGGACGCCTGCACCTGGTCCGCGCAATAATTGACCCCTGCGCGCCCAGCACGGTAATCGACGCTAGCCTGACGCGGGACCTACAATTAGAACACGGAGGTTCTGGGCGAAACCGGAGATGCTCGCTAGTACTCAGAGAAAAATACGGTGTTGCGGAACGCGTAACTACTCAGGCGACAATCATGGCACAACACAACCGATTGAGCCCGACAACGGACATAGACCCCGCGGCTGCCGCGCCATTTCAGTTTATGCGGTTGGCCGATCCAAATTTTTACCGGGCTACCCCGATCCGTCTGACTCTAGGCGTCGATGTATATGCCCAGGTCATGCTAACAGGGACCCCGCCATCTTCGGTCTGTGGCTTATTGACGCAGGCAACCATATTTGGGTTAGTGGTTTCCGGAGCTTACCAAAAATAAAAACAAATTAGAGTGCTTAGTTGATTAATACACGCAATAAAGTGCATTGAAAATCAAAACCACGTCCATTTTGTTCTTTTAACTCTCTCTTTAATTTCCCAATAGCTATCTAGGAAGAGGCGGTGCAACCTGGGTGTGACGAGCGAGAACTAAGTGCAACCTGGAGCACTTCCAGTCTCTAGTGATTACCGTCAAACTTATTATCTTTTCTGACGTGGCATGGTGGGTACCTTCCGTATTCCATTTTTATAGTTTGCGTATGCTGCACCACCCTAATGCGCGTTAAATAATTTTGTATCTGAGTGCACACACACATATATAAGATAGGCTAACATTCCAGCCGTTAACAATATGCCCCGCCGTACTGTAACTAAGTTGAGGGGAAACTCAACGAAGGTTACTGTTCGGCGGGCTCAAACCCTTTTTCGTTTGTTGGCACTCCTTGACTTCCTTGAAGACCAGCATAGCGACTGCCAGCCACCATACCACGTCAGAAAGGTAATCTCATCAAGCTATCAGCAAAATATCTATTTCAATTCACACTGTTTTATTAAACATTTTCCTCCACAAATAAAGCAAATATTTGTTATTATTGTTAAGAATTACACACTAATACGCTGTTGTTTTTTTCACTTATTTTTCTTTACGTGCGAGCGCCTTAACAACCCAAAGACGCCGGGGCGTAAATACTCGTCACATGCAATTAATAATATTAAGTTAAATTGATCAAATTCACGGGAAACTATGATATTCTACTTACTTGCCAAAAATCAACGGTAAGTCCTAGCTATTTAAAATTTGCACTTCGGGCTTGAACGGGCTAAAAACTGCATACTCGGAATGTTTCTAGAAAACCTAATTGAAAAGCTGTCCAATTTTTCTAATTTTTGTACAAAGTTTGACATTTTTACTTACATGGTTTTTGTTGGATAACAAACAAACTTCGGGTTCTTTTCACTGGATTGT